AGATCATCTAGGCTACCTTCATCCGACTCCCTCCTCCAATTACAGAACACATCTGGAGCAGCCATGGAGCTCAGATTGCTGTCATGGCTGCCACTGGCCTGGAGCAAATCACTTACTACCATGGAGGCTCAGTTTTCCCATCTGTGAAATGGTCTAATCAGAACGATCTGTGTTCATAGCAATAAGGTGATGCAGAGAAACTGCCCAGCCCCAGACCTGCACATGTTGGTGATCTGGGAACCAGGGCTGAGTGGGGGCTGCACAAAAGAATCAGATGTGGATCCTGCTCACTACCCCCTGCAGTCTGGGGGTCCCCTGGTGAGAGCCCAGAGGAGGGTGGGCTTACCACAATGAGCATTCCAGGAGCAAGGAGCATCCCAGCCACATCTGGAGCCTGGGTAGGGCATGGACATGTGGGAATCTGAGCAGGTGTTCCAGAAAAAGAGGAACACTGTCCACTAAGGTGGTGGTGGGAAGCCAGGAAGCTCCCTGGCTCAGTGAGCATCATAGTGTGCTGGAGGCTGCTGTGTCCACCCATAGGTTGGCCAGCTGTTCAGCCTGGCCAAGTGGGGCTGCAGGGAGTGGTTGGGTGAAGACAGGTGGGCTCAGGCCTGAGGGCCAGTTCTAGGCACTGGAGCCACTGGTGTTGCTGGGCAAGGCCAGCTATCTGCACCTGGTGTTGGGGATCAGCTTCTCCTGGTCTAACCACTCACTCATCTCAGCTGGAGCTGCTCTGCCCTCTTGGCTCCACGCCCAGCATGGCGTAAGCTGGGGCAAGGTACGGAGCCCTCTGTCTGAGCTGGTGTCCAGGTCTGTCAAATGGGGCAGCAGGCCCTCCCTTGGGGCTATCACAAGAACTAAAGGTGACAATGCATGCAGCACTCTGGGTGCACAGGGCCACATCCCTGGTAGAGACTCTGGCCAGATCGAACCCCATTATTGTTGATTCTCCCAAAACTACAACTTCTCTCTGCAGTTTACCTCCCCCTTGTCTCCATGGCGAGAGACAAGAGGGTTTGGCTCATTAACAGCAAATAAAAAAGGAATTAGCGGGAGTGGCAGGTGGTGAGTAACCGATGAGTAACTGAGTCAGAGCCCGAGGTGGGCACAGCCCGGTGAGAGCAGACACTCACAGGCAGGACAGGACGGAGCACAGCCCCAGCCTCGGCACCTGGTGGCCTGCTGGGGGCTTCACAGCAGCAGGACATCTATCCTTAACGCACTCCCCGGTAGCCTTCCTGTGAGTCAGGAAAAGAGGGCCACAGGCTCCAGGGCTGCTAAGAGAGTGGCCACATCCATCTGAAATCACTCCATTGCTTGGGTTTCCTAGACTCCTCTGTTGGGGACCTAGCTTGTGACACATGCCCACCCCAGAGACAGCTTGGCCTTCCCACAGCTTCCCACCTGAGTCTACTGCAGCAGTCCTGCACCAAGCTCTGCAGACCGTTCCCATGGGGCATTGTTCCCCCATGGATCCCCTCTATTTATCCCCTTCTCCTGTCTCCTCTTGCTAAGGGTCACTTTGCTACAAAAGGGCCACACTGGGTGTAGAATAACTTCGAAGAACCCCTGCCCCAGGGCCTTAGTCCCTCCCTCAGCCTTTCCTGGGCTTTGAATCCACTGCCTGGGCTCAAATCCAGCTTCAGCCCATGATACCCAGCTTCATACCCTTTGTGCCTCAGTCTTCTCATCCGTACAATGGGAATAATGATTAGACCTGCTTTGCCTGATCCTTGGAATTTAAATGAGAACAATGTGAAGGGTTGAAGTGTGCCAGGAGCAGTGACAGGCCTGCACCACTTTGCCAATCTACTTTCAAATACTTTCAGAATCCCCTGACATGCTAGTCCCATAGCACCTGGCCCCAACGCCTGCCTCTTGCTTCCATCTGGCTCCCCTGACCCTCTTCTATTATTACTCTTGGCCTCAGCAAACCCTTCCACATCTTGGTACTTCACCCCTGCCTGGCCCACCTCTGAGAAGGTGTGCCCATCCCACCCACCACACGTGCACATACCCATAATGCACACACGTACTACACACACCTACACACTCACAAAGAGCTATTTGTTGTTGTTTTTGAGACAGAGACTCACTATGTCACCCTTGGTAGAGTACCATTGCGTCATAGCTCACAGCAACCTCAAATTCATGGGCTTAAGCAATTCTCTTGCCTCAGCCTCTCAAGTACCTGGGACTACAGGCGGCGCCCACCACAATGCCCAGCTATTTTTTGTTTGTTTGTTTGGCAGGCCCGGGCCAGGTTTGAACCCACCATCTCCAAAGCATGTGGTCGGTGCCAGAACCACTGAGCTGTGGGCAATGCCCACAAAGAGCTGTTTGTAGTCCTTGCCAAGACTTACTTTACTTAGGATGTCGCCTCCTCCAGGAAGCCTTCCTTGACTCCACTCCACAGTGGCAGGTCAGGGAACCCCTTGAGGTACTATGATGACCTCTTCTGCCTCTCCTCTCAGCTCTTCTCTGGATTCCCTACCTCGTTTACTCTCCCTCCCTCTGTCCGTGCAGCCCTGTGAGGCTTCCTTGGAAGGCGTCCTGTCCACATGCCCTGCTTGCTCGGCTTGGCAATGCAGAGAGTTCAATGACCCACTTCAAACCCTTCAGATCATCTTGACCTCATTTAGACCCAGGGAAGTGGAATCTCATGTCCTTCCTGTCACTGTCCTGGTGGGGGGGGGGAAGGGGGCAGTGTGAGGAGGAAGCAACCGGAGAGGCAAGGCAGGACCGGGGGGCAAAGCCCGGGGAAGGCTGGGGCTCTTTGCAGACTCACACCCAGCTGGGCAGGAAGGGACACTGGTCACCACCTGCCCCTCTATTCTTCTCAGAGGAAAGAAGTTCCCAAGAAGCCGTGGCCCCCTCCATGACAGTAGATGGCCATCAGAGTCCCTTTGGCCTGGGCTTCTAAGAATGGTGGCCCTCACTCCATTGGAACATACCCCAAGGGAAGAGGTTCCTCACCTAGGTGGTCCCCCAGCTGGTTGGGATTAAGGAGGTGGCCCAGAGCACATAGCCCCCAGCGTGAGGCCAGGCATGCAGTTGGTACTCACTCATGGAACAGACCTGACTTGTAGGCCATCATTTCAGCCCTAATAACAGACAGCACCGGGTACCGTGAGGGCTGTGCTGGTGCTCACAGGGCCCCCTCCTGTGGCTGAATGCTGGGTCTGCTCTATCTGAGATGGGCAGTGGGATTCCCACTCACTGGGTTTGGCTCTTGGTTCTCCAGTTGACATTGTTGAGCTTAGACCCAGTGCTGGGGCCATGGAGACCACACAAACCCAGCTGTTTGCAGGTAGAGAAGGACCAAGTGTCCAGGGCCAGGGTGGGAGGACACACAGCACCCAGCCTGGAGCTGTGGGGAATAAAGAAGAGCCAGTTAGAACAGACCTGCCCCTCTAAGGAGCTTGGGACCCGTGTGGAAGCCCCATCTACAGGGCTGAGGAGACCTGCCCCTCTAAGGAGCTTGGGACCCGTGTG